ATGCAACTCTGGTTAAAGGCAAAGCCAGAGTCCAGTTTGGAGCCAATAAGGTATCGTGTCCTCCGAGGTTTTTTAGAGAACTTAAGTGAGCAAATCTCAAGGAAAGCAGAAGAGTTGAGGTGTTTAAAGCAATGGTTGCTTAGTAAAGTTTAGAAAAGTGCTGCGAAAACTGCTAATAGAACTGCTGTTAAAGGTGCTGTAGATCTTGGAAAAGCGAATCCAGCAAGCTTTATTTTTGAACATAAACAACCATGCCTCTCCCTTCAGACCACGCCTCGAACCACGCCTTCAAAACGCATGAACGCGCACGCCCTCTGCAGCGCGTAGCTGATCTGGGAGCTGGCAGGGAGACAGACACAGCACTGCTGATGCAGAGCGCTATGATCACTCCTCTGAAACAGTTTATTAACGCCTAAATTAACTTCAAATGCCGAAATCTGCCGGCAAAACATGTTCGCTTTCATTATCCTGGTGCCAGCAATTTGGATTACTTACATAAAAAAGGCCTTCCAGCCGCGGCAGAAAACGGCAAAGAGGCGACCGGGCCGTAGGCTGCTGTTGTAATCTTTGAATGCAGGATAGTAATCTGGATGAACTGACTGCACAGACCATGTTTTCAGGAGGACTTTCTCACTTCAACATAGATTCTAACTACTTTTTACCCGCTGATCACAGCCAATATAGCTGCCATTGTTCCAGGCAAAGAAAGGATAGGGTAGCTCCGCCCAACACGCATCAGACCAACTTTTCTACTGCGCAGCCAGGGCAGCAAAGATGCTTCAGTTGCGCATCAGAACTAAACTGGTACAAGCATCAAAAATGAAGCAGCGTGCGCGTTTTTGCTGCTCTTGCTGCTTTAGGTGTGAACGTAGCATAACGGTGGCTAGCTTCCAGCCATGGCATCCTGCACGAGCATTGGGTCGATTCAGGTCGATACAGAGGGGAGGGACAAGCAGACGACCATGATTGACATGTCAGGAACTAATAGCGGACAACGGACCGTCTTTTGTCATTGGTTGGGGTTATTTATCGATTTCTGTAGCGGGGAGCGTTTATTTTAGTTTCACTTCCAGACCTTCTATTCGCTGCTTGCTACGCAGCTGTGGGCAGATCTTTAAGCCGCATTGGTAAAAAAAAATGCGTCAGAAAAGATCTACTGCACCTTTAAGGCGGAACACACCGTGGTC